ATATATATATATATATATACATATTATTATTTTAATTATAATTATTATTATAATTATTTTATTCGTAATTTGTTTTCGGTTAAAGCTATAGTAAAGATGGAAAACGAATGAAATACGCAACTATGTATTATAGATAACGTATTACGATGAAACCGGTAGAATCACAACGCATTAATGCGGAAAAAAAAGTATAAACGCCTAGCTGGGTTGAATTTAGACCGTGAACGTGCTCCGATTTGCCACCGTCCATCGGGCAGAAAGCCAGGATTGCGCAAAATTTTCTCGGCCAAAAGGCGCTTGTCTCTTCGTCCCTATAGCCGGACGATAAAAACGGGAGTAAACGTCTCCTCCTTCCTCAAAAATCGCTTCAGATTTTTACATTTCTTCAAAATAAGAAACGCGTGCAGGTCACTTATAAATATCACAAATGAATATTATATGAAATATTACAAATGAAATCATAATATACAGTGTATTATTTTGCATTTAATAAGTTATGTCGTGCTATAAAACTAGACGTTAATTTTATCAAACTCTTTGTGCGTTATAAATATTATTTCCTTTAGAGATATTATGTTTGTGTTTGTATGTGTGGAGAAAGGGGAGAAGAGAGTTTATTTTCTAAATTTATTTTATCGATAAGAGAAAGCAATTCCTACGTGGATTAAAATTACGATCATTTTCGCGTTTGGTCTTATTCGTTGACGTTATGAAAATATATCGGAGTTGCGTTTATCGCAAAAATGCAGCTCGATCGAATAGCAGTTTCATTCACTTTTCTGCCGAATCCTCTAGATTTCGCGTATTTACACGCGACACACGTTCGCGTGGTGAAGTTGCACGTAAAAAGTTAAATAGCCGTCTTCCTCCGAGTTAAGTAACCCGGCAAGATCTAGGTCAACGTTAAATCTACGTTTAGTTTTGACAAACACCGAGAATGGAATAAATCGCAAAAACTGACGAGTATCTATCGTACAACTGGCGAGGTAAACGTTGTAACGTATAATCAGTCGGATAGTTGTCACATCATATCATGATTGATTTAACGGAGTTGAAATTAAAATATGTTTGCTTAATAAAATACGTTTTGTAATTAATATTTTGTGATTGCTATATCTTTTTCAAGCTTAAAAATTTTAATTTTCGATAGCCTTTCTTCATATAGATTTTCAAAATGATGCGCGATTTTATGATGATGAATAATCGAACATTTGACAACGTCAAATAAAGTATCACGATGCCGGTTAAACCGTGTATGTTCGTCAAATTATATGGCGCATCGCATCGCGCCGTGTCAAGTCGATACTGACCCTTTAACAGTTTAACACATTATATTTGCGTTTGAAATTTGACTTCATCTAGTAATCTTAAACAAATTTGAGAACGAATTGCGAGACGGACACAGTGCACAGGAGAAACCGAAGGTACGGCAGAGGAAAGGTAGTGGATCGCACGATACACGCGCGATCATCGTGGTCACCGTTAAATCCTTAAATTGATAGCAACTCATACACAATGAGCTTCATTTATAATCGCTGACTCTAACTCGAGAGCTACTTCGGCCGGTTACGAAATGTCAGAAGCGAATCACGCCGAGTTGAGTGTCTTTGCCAAACATCGAACTTGGGACGTCTAATAATGCTCGAGAATGTTGCTTTAGCGAGTAAATATAGCCAAGCCGAGGCATTCTTTTTCCGCGACTGTTTGCGTCACTTTCATCGTATTATTATCGCGCGTTTAAGTACTGATGCGATATATCTCGTTTGCGAGAGATTCGATTTAAGCGGTACGCAGAAAAAATGGATAAATAAGATGCAATGGAGATCAGTGATACATTTTTAGAAAAAGGATGTGCTCGCGTCTGAGATTTTTGCGTACAGAACGCATTTCTTTGCGGCTTGAAATTTACAATCATCGCAAATGGCATATAAACATTGTTTATATTATCGTTTGTTTCTTTTTTTATTAATCATAATTTTTATCATTAAAGAAACTTACTTGCACGTACTTTTTTACCTGCGACGCGCATTTATCGCTAATAGCTGGTCCTTTGTCGTAGAATACAAAGCGAGGACAGTACGTTTCGCCGCATGGGTGCCTGGGTTGACGATCGTTTCGTGGAGGAGGAGGTGGTTCCCAACAATCAAAGTACCACTTGGACTTGGAGAATTCGGAGCCACGATTGCAATGGTGGTGGACCGCTGCATGGTCGATCGAGTGCCGACTATCAATCGCCAAACAACTTTACATCGACCTGGTCATCAGCATCCTTGTTACCGTTGCGCCGTCAGTTCACTAGACAGCTCTATGAATGGCCTTGTTTACCGTTGTTTAAGTCAAGGACGAAACTAGATCTTTATTGAATCGATCATTCCGTTGAGAACAAGAGCCGCTTGAGAAGCGTTTGTTTGCAAATACAGATATAGCCCAAGTTTTTTGGGTTTTTTTTTTTTTTTTTGTATTATTATTATTTATATCGCATTCGATTGTTTGCGTGTGTGTGTTTGCGTACACGTTTGCGCATTAGGATTGGTGTCGCGGAGCCAAAGATTGGATCGCCCGGAAGTCTCAATACTTTCGAAGGTGAATTCCGAAAGTGTTACCATCCATATTCTTCGTTTCTTCAATATGGCCGAGTGGACCAAGTTGAACGATCGAAATAAGCTAAGTCGAGCTGACGAACGAGGTAATAAGGACGATACAATCGTAAAGCAATCTTACACCGAAATAAATGACGATGAGATTATCAGCGAAGATTCGCGCATGACAAGTGATCGGAACGATCGCGATCACGAACGCAAAGAGACGATCGCGGACTCGAGTTTGACTCAGGAATTGGAGTACGTCAACGGTTTTCGGAACAATTCGGAATTGCTGAAAGGCTCATTAAACCAAGAAGAAGAAGAAGAAGAAGAAGAGGAGGAGGAGGAGAGATTCGTAGAAGACAATCATCATGAACGAATAGGGGAATCGGGCTCAAAGATACGTCGGGAAGCTCGTCAGGAGCTGAAGGAAATCTTGCAAAATTCGCAAAACTCACCGAAAAGACCCAACAGTCTTTACAAAGAAGACGTGTCGAGTCCACAGAAGCTGAAGAGCGTTTATAACGAGAGAAATACAATTTTTGGTTCGCCTACCAGGATTCTGTCGTCCAAGGGTCACTTGTCAACTGAGAACAGTATCGAGAAGCTCGCAAACGGGAAGTTTCCTAAAGAGGACAAGCAGCAGCATCACGTGCAGTTTAACAAAGAGTCCAAGAAGCAACAGCTACGTCAAATATCTGAAGAAAGACCGCATTCGAGTCCGTCGATCTCTACATCGACTACAAGTAGTTTTGAAGATAATTCGAGCTTAGCACAGTTTTGCGAAGCGAGACCACCCGACGGAGGCTGGGGCTGGGTCGTCGTTGCGGCCTCCTTCATGGTAAACCTGATCGCTGACGGCATTACCTTCTCCTTCGGCGTAATATACGTCGAGTTTCTGAATTATTTCGGCGAGGGAAAATCCAAGACAGCTTGGATCGGCAGTCTTTTCATGGCGATGCCGCTGTTGTCCGGACCGGTGGCAAGTTTCTTGACCGACAGATACGGTTGTAGGAGGGTAACCGTAGCAGGTAGCATACTGGCGACGGCTGGTTTCGTTATAAGTTCCTACGCGAACTCCATGGAGGTACTCATCCTCACGTTCGGTATCGTAGCGGGTTTCGGTTTGTCCTTGTGCTTCGTCGCGGCGGTAGTAATCGTAGCGTACTATTTCGACAAAAAGAGATCCTTTGCCACCGGTTTGTCGGTATGCGGTAGCGGAATCGGGACTTTCATTTTCGCTCCCGTCACGCAGTATCTTCTGGCGGAGTACGGCTGGAGGGGAACTACGTTGATACTTGCAGGACTGTTTTCGAATCTCGCCGTATGCGGATGTCTTATGCGAGATCTTGAATGGACTACTACTAGAGCGAAAGCGAAAACTCAAGAGAGAAAAAAGAATCGGGAGAAGAAGAGATCCAGAATGCAGAGTTCCAACGCAGATTCTTTTTCAGCCACCAGCTCCGCGAATACGACCACGCAAACGCCCCACGGTGATTTTAAAAGGGGTTTCGCGTCGGCCAACGCGATGATTATCGAGAATCTTCGACTTCAGGACGGCGACGAGGAGAGCGGCGAAAAGCTCTTCTCTAGCTTGGTTAGTCTGCCTACCTTCGTTAAAAACAGGGAGAAGGTACCTGTGGAAGTGCTGGAATTACTTAGCGCGAACAAGGCCGTTTACAACGTCCTCCTGCAAAACTATCCGAGTCTTTTGATATCGTCGAAGAGTTTCAGCGATTCAGGAGCGTTGCACGATCAGCTGAGTACACCCTCGGCCCGATTTATACCTACACCGAGCCCATTAGCCGAGTTAAAGATTGAAAACGGTAAGGACAGGGATATGCGCGAGGATAATGACGAACGAACACTTCGCGACGAGCAACAGCGGAAATCGGTAGAACCGGCGTACTTATGGTGGCTGAAGAAAATCGATTCCGATACTCCCTTGAGGCGTTCCAGTACACTGGAACAACCAAGGAGAGTGCCTACCGCGTATCTGAATGACATCAGAATGCACAGGCACAGTTTGACTTATAGAGGTGCCATGCTGAATATCAATCGGTATCGTTTGAGAGCTTCTAGCTGCCCGGACATTTATAGAAACTCGATGACCACCATCGCCAAGACTAAGCTCGTCTGGTACGCCGGACTCTGGGAATTCTGGGACTTGATCGTCGACATGCTCGACTTTTCGTATTTCGCCGATCCGAGGTTTCTGCTGTTCGCTGTCAGCAATTTTCTCTTGCACACGTGGTATGACGTGCCTTATGTCTATCTGACGGACAACGCGATCGAGGTTGGATACAGCGAGACGGACGCGTCTATTCTGATCTCGGTGATCGGAATCGCTAACATGGGCGGTGAGGTAAGCGGCCGAACAAAACGGAAAAAACAAAATAGCTAAATAAATCACGTTCCGATCCGATAGCTGCTTGTATAATAGTCAAAGTGGAACTTTTTATTGCAGATTTTTCTAGGCTGGGCCGGTGATAGAGCATGGGTGAACGCATCTATCGTCTATGCGGTGTGTATGGCGCTCTGCGGTGCCGTTACCGCTCTAATACCCATAGTTGTCAACGATTACTATACCTTATGTGCAATCTCTGGTGCCTTTGGATTATTCATCGCAGCGAATTACAGTCTCACCAGCATCATCCTTGTCGAGCTGATCACTTTGGAGAGATTCACGAATGCTTACGGCCTTCTGTTACTGGTCCAAGGAATAGCTAATCTTATGGGTCCTCCGTTAGCTGGTAAACGTTTCCTCTCTCTCTCTCTCTCTCTCTCTCTCTCCCTCCCTCTTTCGTTTTTTTGCTTGTATTAGAAACACATCGAACGAATACTAAAGATGAACGGGATGATTTTTCAGGATGGCTCTACGATATTACAGGCACATATGACCTCTCCTTCTACCTGGCGGGGTTGTTCATCGCATTAAGCGGCGCGTTGTTATTAGTGATGCCTTTGATCAAGTTGTACAGAAAATGCCGAGGTAATGAATCCGAGGAGGGAACTGTCGACAAGGATTTTAATGAGATAGACAATGTGTAAATATGCCGATATATTTATTGAAAGAATAAACCAGAGACGAGCTACCATTGTCTGCGGTTACTATTGCGCGACTGAAATCGCGATATCACAATAGAATTGCAACGCGACTTGCAAAAATTGCCGCAGGTATTCCTTAATTCCGTAGCAGTGTCAGAGTCCGCGATATACTGTATGAGAGTCGCTCGAGCCGGCTGTGGTGTATTACATAGTTATAAGTTTGTGTCGAAATGCTCTTGTGAGGTCATCGACAATTAATGCGACAACTAATGCGAGCGACTCGAAGAGTATTATGTAAAATGAATCACATGTAGCAAATCGTGTATTATCAACGGATTCCGATTCTGCGTGATTATCAGCGGATGATTCTTCGCTGCTAGCTTTCGCGAAGGTTACCAGGTCATTTCTAATCTCTTAGACATTGCGTAAAGGAAATTATTTCGAGAGTGAGTATAGTTTTAATATTTTCAATAGCGTAGAGTGATATTACGCGATATGGAGTAAATACATTGTACAAATTAGAGGAACGCGCTGCTCGTGATAATATAAAGGGCCTGCGATGAGAGAAAAGATTCGTTATAAGCTATTATCGCGTTGCCGTCGATATAACTTGCCGAAACAAATATACATTCTTAGTACTGTAACAATTACGTATAATTTCGAATCTCAGGATATACTACCAACAATTGATACGTATACATAGGTTCGAAATCGGCACATCTGCGTATGCCCTCTCTCATTTGCGTGTAAAGAAAAATTGTACAGATTGTAACGCAGCGCATGTTTGTAATCGCTACTCCTTCGTCAAGTGCGTTGCGTATTCTGAAGCCAGATTGTACAATTGACGAGTTATTCTCTCCTCCCCTTCTATCCTCGATTAATGCAAAAAGTATTGTAAATTGATCACCGCACCAGATACTCTTTGTAATCATCATCATGTAACGTGCATCCCTCGCAAAGGAGCTTCGCGAGTCACTCGTGCATTTAAATTAATTAATTCATTAAAATGTTTAATTAATTTATATTAAATATTATTCGTGTCTAGTTTAATTATCCAATCAGATGGAGATATCAAAGTGTGTTTATAAATTTTGCCAAGCAATCGCAAAATATTACGTTACCCGGATCATAAGTCGTGAGTCCAACGCAGAAGAAAAATATCTCGCTCTAGTTTATTTCTTTTGCTTTTTGAATTTCTTTTACTGTTGAATGTAAGCAGGGCAGCAACCTCGGTTAAATCAATTTTCTGCGGATAGACAATATTCTTATTGTTTAAATTTTGAGATAATTTAGAGAATAAGAAATGATACAAATGGTTAACTGAAAGATAACATTGAAAGATTTGATAGCAGATTTTCTCATTTCGAGCGCGATGCACGAATTTCGTTTGAAATAACATATGTCTATAAAATAGGCATTCGTGTATAGCTTTTCTGTGATCATAAACTTGCCTCTTTATCAATTTTGCGAGCTACAAATAGACTACTACCTCTCCATTACCATAGTGTATACGTACGTACATGCGTGCGTGTGTGCGTGCATGTGTTCGTTCTTTTTTTGTTTTTATAAAATATAATCTACGTGTATATTTGCACTTGTAGATTACACAAGCGATTTTTTCTTTGTTATTAAAAAGAGGAAACAAGTAAAATAGTCACACGTCATTGTAGTGATTTTTGATTGTACATATAATAATACGAGCGAAGAGACTAGTTGTAAATTTAACGCGAACAGCATAATGGATTTATTGATAAAGAAGAGTTTTTATTGCTCTCTGTGTATGTGAAAAGTTTTAAGCGAAATGTACATTACTTGACGAAATTGAAATCGTATTGTGCATTCCGATGGAAATTAACATAAAACGAAATAGAGGTTTTCTAAAACTAGTCAAAATCGCACTACAATATTTTAGGTACTGTCGATTTCACACAAAAATTTTATATTCCAAAGATTTCTCTTACATATAGTATATCGTCATAGGGATGTCATAGGGGATACACGTACGTATAACATTATAATATACGAGGCCTTTATACTAAAACCAAATACGGAAAAATATTTATTGCTTTCAGATATTAAGAATTAAATCGATTAGATGGCAGATGACTAATCGTATGAAACGAGAGTTTAGGATATTTTTTATTAGTATCGCACACATAATAATCTGGTACCCGAAAGTAAGTAATCGCAACATCCGAGATCGAAATTTTGAATTTCGATCAAGCGTATTTTTTCGATTCTAGAGATATGATCGAGATTGGTGTCTTATATAATTGTGTCAGGTGCCAAGTCCAAATTATATGAATATAACATAATTTTTTTCGCAGCATATGTGCTCGTATTATATATCACACGCGTACGCAGCCTTATACGGCATCTACGAAACGTATAAAGCAATATTTTAATATAAAAAAAAAAAGGAAAAAAATTGTGTATTTCATATATTTACGATATCAGGTCGTCGGCTTTGCAGACTCTGACGACTTTCAACGATAGTTATTAAGCGATAGTTATTAAGAGGAGGAGAATGGGACGCAAATAATCTATGAAAGAAGGAGGATCTTTAATAGAATTGTCAATCGAATCCCAGAGAGCGATTCCTTCCAGTAAAAAAAAAAAAGGTGAAAAAGTAGCGAAGCACGAGCGTTTTAGCTGACGATATAATCAGCATTCCACTTATATTATGTAAGATTGCGAAGTTTTTTTAGAATTTTGGCATTCTACGAATTTCCGAAGAATCTTGAAAATACAATTATTCGATTATCAATTATATTTCCGACGATTTTAATCGCGTTAATTAGATCGTTATGATACCGATCTAGCGTGTCTCTATTACATCAAATACCTTATATGTATATTGGCGCAAACCGTTACGGATTTCAACGTTCTTGTTGACTCTTAAATATTTAAAAGAACGAGTCTATGATTAGTCTTATACGTGTATACATAAATTCTTAGCCAATGCCGATTCCTAGAACGACGCGATGCGTCGGTTCAGTTTCACGTAAATCATCCTCTCATGTATTGGAAAATATCTGAAGATGATCCGAATAAATATCATAGTGATTTCTCGACAACACTTACGATTTATTTCGTAATAACGAATTCCACATTTCGCATTTTACATACAAACTTTGTTATTTATAGTAGAAATTACTATAGAATATTACAATAGAAATTTGTACACGATAGAAATTGCTAAACGGAAAAAAACAAGCGTGTTTAGAGATATCGTTTTTTTTAATTAACTGTGTGTTGCTCGTTATTCTGTATTAAAGAGAATTCTACTGAATTTGGATTAAAAGTAATACTACGAATCAAGTGCGTATTTGAATCATCGACAGGCGATGAATTGTCATTGACGTCGGCTGACATCGGGTAACGTCGGATGACGTCCGATGGCGTCACATCGCGTCGCATCGTGTTGACACAGTCGAGATTCGAGATAATTTTATCGATCAGTCATTTATTTTCAGATATATTTTTATGCTCTCTTTCTCTCTCTCTCTCTCTCTCTCGCCGCGCATAAAAAATTTTTCATTGCCGCGGATGTCGACAAACTGTCAAAAGCGATATAAATGGTACGTGGAAAATTTATATACATATATAAATATATTAAAAAAGGATTAGGATATTTCGCGATATTTATATTTACACGCATGATAATTATCGATTATGAAGCAAGATAGAAATATCTCGACACATACCAAAATTACGATCTTATTTTTCAACTTCAAAATACAATTATATGACTTTTTATTATCATCAAATATCGTTAAAGATTCATTGTACTAGTAAAAACATATTGCCTATTTAATGTCAAAAAATGCAGCTGATATCGCGCTAGTATTATCTGATATATATAACTGATGTTGTTCCCTGCGCGATTTGATCAACTTATCATAGCTTTCTCGCCAACGCAACATTTTCGATCTCGCGAAAAATAATGGTCGAGAGGAACGAGTCGAGGCGTAACGGCACAGGGGGTGTAGCGGGTGTAGCGGGAGTAGCGAGAGTAGCGAGAGTAGCGGGACGCGGGACGTGGCAAGGTGAGGGAGAGGTGAGGCAAGGTGAAGCGTGAAGCGTGGTGGGGCGAATGGTTGTTGTAGAGAGGGAAGGAGAGGGGTTGCGTGACGAGCTCATGACTAGGCGAGGCGAGGCGAGGCGAGGGCGAGACGAGGGCGAGACGAGGCGAGGGCGAGACGAGGCGAGAGGCGAGACAAAGCCTGGCGACTGGCGAGACGAGAGGACGAGACACGAGACGAGGCCGATACGCGTACGCGTGCTCCGTTCAAGTCAGGTGCGGCATCGGGCGTCGAGAACCTTTTCTATGACGTGGATTCTGTGAGAGGCTCCTGGCTCCTGAACGCCTGAACCGCACTCTCTCAGTCAGTGTACTGGGTGTCCCCAACCGAGACGGTCGCGTGATTACTCGCATCGCACGCGTAATCGGGGAAACGTGCCGAGGGCACGCGAATGCGCGAAATTGTCGCTGTAATAAGACGGGGCAAAACGCTCTTTCCAACGAGGATCGTGCCAGGCTACGCGAAATCTCCGGATTCTCTGACAATTTGCGCGAGCTGCTCGTTGGTAAGCTCGATGAGTATATAAGCATGTTGTAGCCTCGAAGCACATGTGTATTTTCGCATATGCCAATTTCCTTCTTTTATTTTATTCTTTTCTCTTATACACATGTGCACACTTTGAGATTATATATTCAATAATTACTATCTGATACAATGTGACAAAGTGACTAAGAAAATTATGCCATTATTAACATATACTAATAAAATAATAATAGACATCGAATGTTGACATTCTTGTTGTTATTATAATTTTTTTTTTTTTAAATTACGAACTTTTTATTTTTTGTCATCGTGTTTCGGCTGCAGAAAGTTTCGCCCTTGTCTTTTAAACGTTCATATTAAACGCGCTAAAATTTGAAAAGAATATCGTACATTTCTAAACGTGCCTGTCGTTTATCTCGCCTGCCGCTCGCCAAAATGTGCATTCTGCCATTTATCATTATTCTGAACGGACAGTATGATTTACCGGAAGCTTTGCATTCCGAACAAATTGGAATTGCGGGAGTTTATCGAATAAATAAACTTATTTATTCGCGTTGACGTAACTTTAGATAACAAAACTCAACGATCGGTAACGCTTGCTTATTTTAGTTCCGTTCGTATATTTGCCGTTTTATCGCGCGATGCATTTGTAAGCACAATTACCGCGATTCATTGAACATTTATGACCGCGTATTCACAATCGTCAACTATCTAAACAAGTACATATAAAAAACATCTATTATTGTGGTATAAATCTTCGGCGAATTCGACAATTACACACAGCTCAACAAAAATTTATTACGTTCTAATATCATCTTGGTCCGATTGAAATATTTTTTCAACTCTTTGCTTTTATTAAAAATATTTCTTCTCAATTTCTTTTCAATAAATGATACGATAAATCGATTCTTTTTCTAAATAAAAAAAAAAAAAAAATAAAAAAAAAAAAAAGCCACTTAACTTGTGATTAATTTTACTTCATTTAACGTATATGACTTATTACATAATTCTTTTCTGTTATCTATAATCGTCTCCTGTAATACACGCGTTTCTATCGAGCATTTACATTCTATATGATGTATTTCAAAGAGACATAAATGTCGCAAGATTTTTTTCTCACATACAGAAATCACATAACCAATTTATATGAATATATTATATTTTTGCTATCCTCTCACTTTCCCTTTTTTTCCGTCTGCAGCATTAAAAGTTGGCCAGCAGCTGCGTCTCGATTAAAGAGCAATTAAGATGATAGATGCTTTAAATTAACGATAAAACTTTATTATCTCGAGTGTTGATATTCTGCAAGAGGCGATCTGTGAAATAATCCTGTTTAAATACGCATGACTCGATATTCACAAATAACGTTTCACCATATCGATCCAAAATGTTTGATACGGTATTTAAACTGAACGTTTGTATGTATAAGTATACGAGATAAGTAAAGAAATCTGGTGAAATTCCATTAATTCTGATAATTTCATTAGAAATATGGAAGAAATTAAATTTACTTTTCCATCAGAATAAAGAATAAATACATTTTACATCAATTTTTTTTTTTTTTTTTTTTTTCGTATACATGAAACAAAATTCTTAATTTTCCGATGTGGCATCACGAAAACAGCCACAGAAATTATTTATTTATTTTTGTTTTAATTGAATATATGCGGCATATGATGATGTTATAATTGAGTTGCCTTCTAAAAGGGATATAAAACTGCAGCGCGAATAATCTCTAATCGCACACGTGGGTTATTTAAAACAATTTTCACGTACACACGAATTTTATGATAACGATTACGAGAAGTAACCTTATCCGAAATTTAATATCCCTTTATTTTAGTAAAGAGACGGACATTCACGCGGAAATCGACCAGTCGGTTTCCATGGTGATCATACCCCTCCGCCGACTCTTATATGACTCTTAACTACCTACTTTCGAATCTTTTTGTTTCTTGTATTTATATAAACATATGTGAAAGATATATGTGAAGCGAATAATTTTGTGATGTGTGCAATTAAAGAGAAATATTACGAATAAATTTATGTATCATCGACTTCGTTCCCATATAAAATACGTATGTTCGCGTGTGTGCTCGACACGTTAACGATTACACTCGATACTTTTTTTTCGACGAACTTTTTTTCAACGCGATAAGTATAATCATAAAATCCATAAACGGTAGTGAGACACATAATCCTTTCTTCAGACACATTTGTGCCGTAAATTTATGCCGATTGTAAATCTTTACATAATTTTAAAAATTTTGAGTGAGCAAAAATATTCGTGCGATCTCTATCGTTCTTATCAACATCAAATATTGACAATTGTGCATGCATAAAAACGTTTAATTTTTTACGAGGAAAGCTTTGTAAAAGCTTTTAATAACATTTTCGGTGGATGATGTCATCGCGCGGGACACAGGCCGGAGAACTCAATCTTACCAATGTGACATCAATTAAAATATGACATTCCTTAAGCTTCTCGTTAAAATGACAGTTTTATATGCGCGTAGCGAGGATATATAAAATATGACACTTCTTGATTCTAAAATTGTTTCTCGTCTTACCGATTTATTCATCGAAAATTTTTTGAAATAAAAATTTTTATTTTGTTTTCTTTTTTTTCTTTTTTTTTTAGAGAGAGAGAGAGAGAGAGAAGAAGCTAGTAATATACTGTAATATTAATTTCCTTAGTTTACGGCTCAATTAATTTGACGTTTCATAAGATCAGACTTATAAATACACATTATTATGAATTGCCAAAAGAATTTTCAGCTTTACGTCAAAAGTCGACAGTTACGCAATGCCAAAGTATTATTAGACTATCATACGACGAAAGACTTCTAATAATAAGTGCGTTTACTTTTGAAAGTTTTTTTGAAACGCTTTGGTATATTTTGTACAAGAAACAATTTTTTTTTCTCTCTCTCTAGAATATATAATAGAATATAACAAATCAATGGCAATAATAATACAATAAATATGTAACAAAATAATTCTTCAATTGTAGACACATTTCTTTTCTCTTTTATTACCAGTGTGTGTGTGTGTGTGCGCGCGTGTGTCTGTTGTAATAAATATATTTTCTGAAATAAAATTAGAAATGTTAAATTTTATATTTTAAGAAAAATTAAACTGTGTGTGGATACATATATAGATACATACATGTCAAGTGAATAACTAGAGATAGATACAGATAAGTACTGATAACTAATTTATTGAACAAAAATTTCATAAAGCAGTCGGATTCGTATCGTTAAATATCTTACAAATTTTTTATTTTCCAATTATATTTTTTATATGCTGTTTCGGAATTGACATCGTGAGTACGATATTTGAGCAAACATGTGCTTATCGCAGATAAACTAAATTTTAACTGCGATATATTCTTAATACATACAATAAATCAGCGACACTCAAACGAAAGAGAAGCGTTGATATAATTGCTTACAATTAGGCGCATGATCGATATAGAGATATATCTGGTGAAAATAAATATATACACACACACACACATATACAAGTATATATATAGCATAGAAAAGAATTTACTTTTTTTGCATATTTATTGATGTAATAATTAATTAATTATAATTACATACATATGTAATTAATTTATATACTAATCAAGCATGACTTCTTCTGCCCTGGTAGAAGAGAGATTACGCGGAATGATTCGCATGGGCTATATGCATGTAATCAATAATTATGCATGCATAGACACGCACTTTCTCTAGATTAGATTCTTTATTATTTCAGGTATTATGTACTGACACGAACACATTTTTTTCCTTGTTACCGATAATTTATTTTACAGCTTCCAGCTTGTTGGACACTTTTCTCGTCGATCGATTGCACGAGCGCCAGTTGCACGCTTTGCTTTAATTTCTCGATTGATTAACTAACAAACTTGCTTTATATCTAATCTCACTTTTCTCTCGTTTATCAATGGTTGTATATTATAATTGCTCACGCCGACGAGTGTCGCAAGTACTTTCCTGCACCTATACACGCATGCACGTCTGCGTAAACACGTTATTTACATTATCTCGATGGTGAGTAATTACTGATTTTCTCTTTATTATAATCACTTGCTTTATATTTTTCAAAACTTGGTCTTGAGATAATATAATACAAATTGTGTGCATGAGGTTTTTTCACACGCATGTAACGCGTACTTACATACTTTATCGATACGAGTATCGAGTGCCAAAATGTGTATGATTTGTCACCGATCGTTACGAAAGATATAAAGATATGATAATTCTCTCTATCTTTTTCGGGCTCATTGTTGTTTTGTATTTATATCGAAAGGATCTCGCGCGCATAACATTTAGTATCGAGCCGTTGTATCGAAACCTTGACATGGAGCGGACGTTTGTTGTCATCAATTTGTAATTTAATCGTTTTCTCGTCGCGTACATTATAATTCAATACATTATTAAGAAAAAGGTTATAGTTTAATACGTGATAAATTATCACGTGTTCTCTCCGGAGTGATTTGACACGTACGTGATGACACATACAATCGTACCACCTCTATTTCTCACGGATAGATTTTCTCAAGATTTTGTTCTCGTGTATATGACACCTGTCATGACACATTTCATTAATTTAATTGAAAATTCCTTTTATAGGACGAGCGACTCGAGCGACTCGAAGGTGCGTGCATGCTGAATTCAGTGCGGTCGACGTTTCGCGAATCGTCAAGGATCGTTCCGAGGATCCTTATGGTAACCGGAGGACAAGGTGTTTATCATCCGAGCGAGTTCCAAGGGCTGAAGGGCTGGCGGCGTCGTTGGATCCATTTAGCCATTACTTACAATTAGAGCGACAATGGCCAGCAGGAACGAAACTGACCTGCGAGAGATTCGAGTAGAACGCGACGACGACTACAATAGAAACAACAACAATCACGATAACAATTACGGCGGTTGCTCCGCGAGTGCCGCTAGAAAGGAAGACGTGTGCGCAAAGAGGAACCAACGGAGCAACCACCGGAATCAGCCGGGCAGAGCCCCGTTGGTCGGCTGGCGAAATGGAAGTCCCACGATTTGTCCCACGAATTCCGTCCACAATAACGTCAACTTGGTGGATAGACGCGAGGCCAGTCTAGATTCGACGGAGAAGTCGAACGATGCGATCGAGTCGACGGAGCGGAGCGATACACCGAGGAAGATTGAAGAAACGCTCGATCGCGAGAAATATGTCGAGCCGGATGGCGGTACAACGACGAATCGACGAGTAAGGGACTCTATCGATTCCGAAAGTATTATCCTGGAACGCGAGGATTCCTTAGGCTCTATCGAAAAAGAGATAAAAAGTCGTAAGAAGCCTAAAGTACCCGACGGCGGTTGGGGCTGGGTGGTTGTTCTGGCCTCCCTGGTAATCTCCATGATAGCCGACGGTGTCTCCTTTAGCTTTGGTCTGCTTTACATCGAGTTTCTTCACGAATTCGGCGCATCCAAGTCCAAGACCGCTTGGATCGGCTCGCTCTTCATGGCCGTGCCGCTTCTATCCGGTCCGATCATGTCCGCCCTCGTGGACCGTTACGGATGCAGGAACATGACCATCATCGGCGGCCTGGTATCGGGGTTGGGCTTCATACTGAGTATCTTCAGTAACACTATTGAGGTAATGTACTTGACGTTTGGCGTGATCGCGGGTCTCGGTCTGGGTTTGTGCTACGTCACCGCGGTTGTGAGCATCGCCTTTTGGTTCGACAAGAAACGAACCCTAGCTGTAGGTCTCGGCGCGTGCGGCACCGGCATCGGTACGTTCGTCTATGCCCCGATGACGACCTATTTCATCGCCGAGTACGGCTGGCGAGGCGCTTGTCTGCTCCTGGCCGGCACGTTCTTCAACATGATCGTCGCGGGGACCGTTATGAGGAATCCGGAATGGTGGATTCTGGAACAACAGAAGCAGGATCAAGCCGTGCCGAGGAAATCGAACGTTCGGTCGGATGGTACGGTAAAGTCGAACGGGAGTCCCTTGGACGAGTTCCCGGGTATCGAGGAGCTCCGACGACTGCTCAGAAGCGACCAGGCGCCCGAATATTTCTTACAGAATCTAAGTACGAGCACCGAAACAGCCGACGGCGCCAAAAGACATACGACGAGCGTGGTTAATCTGCCGACTTTTGTAAAGAGGAGCGAAAAGGTGAGCGACAAAAGCCATCATATCTACGGTATTGTCTGTTTTTGTAAATGAGTGGATTGGAATATATGAGATTTCAGGTGCCTTTGGAAGTATTGGAGTCATTACTGTGCAACTCTAGGCTCTATACTGTTATCCTGGAAAATTATCCTAGTCTTCTGTTGTGTAGAAGTTTGTCCGATAAGCAGCTGCAGGATTCAACGGGGGAGATTTATAATAAAAGCGGAATTACTATGTCAATGAGGTTAATCATTTGCTACGTGTAGTTATAATATAGGTTTTAATGATAATTTTTAGTCGAATCCCTTTTTCCTATCGGAAAGTTTGTATACGATATTACTTTATTCGCGCGATACTTTAATCTAGTCAAATAGATGGAATTGAATACAACACGCCGCGGCATTTAATACTTGTATTACGTTCTACAAAGGCTGAAACGAGCAACGGAATCGAAAACGATCGCTGAACAAAGGAACAAAGATTCTTGTCCGGTATCCACTCACGCACCGACGAAACTTGTTTGCGCCAGAAAAATATCCAAGAAGGAAATAGAGGAGACTAATCCCTTGCTGACGAAAGAAGTCACGGTAACAAACGTTATTTTCGATTATGGATTCCGTCGACTCGCCATGGCACATTAAGCGAATACTTTCCAGATCGCTCCGACGGAAAGAAGGAGATCCGTGTCTAAACGTTACGTTGACGTTGAGCCCCAAGCCAACGTCATCAGGACCGACTCGATACCTTGGCTCAGACGACAATTCAGTACCAACACCCATTACTTCAAGGATATCAGAGTGCATAGAAATTCCGTCATGTATCGCGGCGCTGCCCTAAATCTGCACAAGTACAGACTAAGAGCGAGCAGTTGTCCTGACATCTATAGAAACAGTATGATCACATTGGCTAAAGAAAACGAACAGGTATTTTAACGCTCGCGATATATCGGAAGGGTAGATTTGCTTGTGTGTAAAGATATAGAATTTCGTATCTGACGCAGAAGTGGTATGCCGAGCTGATGGACCTGTTAAAGAGCATGTTGGATTTTTCAATGTTTCTCGAATTGCATTTCCTGCTGATGTCAATGTCGACGATATTGCTATTCACATGGTTCATCGTACCGTACTTCTACCTCGCGGAACATCTGACTAGGAACGGTTACGACGAATCCGATGCCGCTAATCTCCTCAGCATTATCGGCATAACCAATACCATCGGAATGGTAACCTTAAATCATTAGAGTAGGCTCTATACGCTCTATCCCTGAACGAGATGAAATTCTCTCATACTCGGTGTTGCTCGCTTTTAGATCGTTCTAGGCTGGGCTGGCGATCAACCCTGGATGAATGTCAGTAAAACGTACACCTGGTGTCTGATAGCGTGCGGAGTGGCCACGATATTGATGTCCGTCTTTACCCATCATTATCCGTTTCTAATGATCACTTCGGCAGCTTTTGGTTTGTTTTTCGCGAGTAATTTCAGCTTCACTCCTGTTATATTGGTCGAGCTGATTCCTCTGGAAAGATTCACTACCGCTTACGGTCTCAGCTTGTTATGCCAAGGAATCGGAAATCTTCTCGGACCTCCGTTGGCTGGATGGCTATTCGACGTGACAAACGCCTGGGACCTTTCTTTCCTCATGGCTGGTGGTTGGATTATTGTCTCCGGAATCTTTGTAGGTATTATACCGTATACGAAGAATCGAAAGATTTTCGGCAGTGGACCGATCGAGATGGAACGAACAAATGGAAATGATTGTTTGGCATAGAGCGAATTATATTCATTGTTTTTACACATGCGCGCACAGTTATTAAAAGACGGAGGGGCGAATATTTATGAATTGCTCGGAAAAAATGTTAATTTAAAGTACGAATCTCACTACGCTTACATCAGATATGCAGTATAAAACGATAAAACGTTGATCACATAGCGAATATTTTTGAATTTCCTATTTATTAACAAGAAGGTATTTTCGCGTATATAACGTATTTCTTATAACATTTTTCCTGTACTTAAATTATTCGTGTTGTGCGAATAATTTTATTTATATAATGAAACACACAAATCGGGGGAGGTTAAGAAATATATCATGTACTTCATATACGTACAAAGCTTTTTCTACTTAAAATACGTTTTACTTTACATAGACAATTTGTGTAGACAGACTTAATTGAATAGATTGAATGGACACGATACGAATAAATATTCACTTGTTTGTAACGTACTTAATCTTATTACAAGACAATGGTATTAAGAAGACAAAAGATATATTTTATATATATTTTATGTGTTTATGTAAAACTCGCATATAGATGAATTTATTTTTATTAGAAACTTGTAAACGCTTAAAACGCTTAAATACATTTACATGCTTTAATAATGTAAAAAAGCGACGTGTTAACAATTTATAATGAAATTTGTTTCCTAGATAATTAAGTTTAATAATGTTTCTATCATAACTTTATATATATATCGTATGCATATAATATCATTGTTACGATATTATAAGATATTGTCAAGAGTTTTTTGTAAAACTTTTGTTACTTCAAAGATATCCAAAGATTAGATAAGTAGTTAAACAATGATATTTATATTAATGTTTACTATATATTTAGGAAAAGTGTGCGAAGATTTACGAAAAAAATGCGCAATTTCGTAAAAAGAATTCTGCCATAAATTGTTGAATTAACTAATTTAAATTATTTTAATTGTCCGCTTTACATCGTTGCGTATATATTTAGGAATTATTCAGGAGTAATATAGCGATATGACATTAAATATCTACTATGATAAGACAAAGAGATATATAACCATGTTTCATCTTCCATCTAAATGAACGTCTAATTTTAAATTTCAATATTATTCAGGTACTCGACCAAAGAAAAATTAGAAAATAATTTTTGCGGAATAGAGAGATTCTTATATGAATAGGATATATCTATAAAATTATTATTTATAAAGCGATATAACGCTGTCAGAATCTTGTTTGTCGAATATATATGTCTACATGTATTCTTTCCGATAAATATGAACAGATTAAATATTTATTATACGACGGTGTTAAAAGTTATATGTTACCAGTGTTATTATCAGGATCGATCGGATACTATTTGTCTGAAAAAAGTACGATGAGAGAAAATTGAATGAAGAAAAATTAAAGTCCCCGTCCTTTCATTGATATATTATCTCAATATCCTGGAGATGTCATCGGATTGAGTGCATTAGGGCTTGGGCTTCGACTGGATGTTCTCGGAACGCCTAGAATGCTGGCGAGATTTTGTATACTCTGAGGAAATGTTCTCGCTACGATGAAATGCTGCGGGCCGATTAACGCGTCTGCCATTATACCAAGGCGTACTCCGTTTCCAAGCCTGTGCAAGGTCATTGACATGTCTAAAAAAATGTATACAACTTGATGCAATGAAAAATACAAAGTACAATAGATATCGCGTGAGTAATGAAATATATCTACTGCAATTTCCTTGCGGTGGTCGCCAGTAAATCGCTCCGTTTACGCCTTCCACAGGTAGATCACCGTCGACATGCGTCAAGCACAGAGAATACCTTTTCGACAGTTGATTCAAGAGTAATTTCAAAACGATGGCAGGCACGCAGGACGAGATAAATCCGCAGGACGTTTCCGCTGCCGTGATCGCGTAAATCGCGCTCTGCTTAGACCTGGCTTCCTGAATGTTTCGTTGAATCACCTTTAGGAAGCGCGATACGAAAGCGTTGGAAAAATTCGAGCGAGTTGTTTCATGCATGAATCGTATATCCGATCCTCACCTGTAGTATCTCGACGAGATCGTCGTGAAACAAGGGCGTTCTGGTGGGCAACGCGAGACAGAGAATACCTCGGGCCTCGTGATTTCGCAGGAACACGGCCCGTTGACTCACAAACTTGACGGTCGCGAGTACATCATCCGGAATATTGACGGCCGAATGCCTGAAGTATTCCTTTAGGCTATCTATGGTGGCCGCTAAGAGAATTTCCGTCTCTGTCGCACCGGTTACGTTGGCGATTTTCCGTACGAGCTCGACGTTGACCTCCTCCGACCAAGCCACTACCTTCCTACCGCACGGAGAAATGGTCTGCAGTTGATTCAACTGCGGATGCTTCAGAAACAGCTCCTCGACGATGATCTTGGGCGCCGTTACGGCTATCCAGCCGATGGACATCACCTCCCGAATCGCTTGGAATATTAAAGGGAGGTAACAGGACAACATATACGTCAAGGTATCCGGATAGCAATGCTTGTGTCGCGATTTTAGAACCTGCAATTCTCGAATGAGTAGAAGCGGCGTTCTTAAGCACGACGTGACCGTGATGTACCAGAACAAAGCGATGCAGGAGTAAAGAATGTTAATCGGATTGAAAGACTTTGCGATGGATTCGAGCATCAATCGAGGATTAAAGTTCCTCTTGCTCGATTCGCGTTGAACGATCGATAGAAGCTCCAAGAATTTCAGCCCTTCTGGCTTTCGGCATTGTCTACAGAGAGTTATGGAAAAGATGAGCGTACGTTTTCCTAGACGAATATTGCGGAAACGGGAAAGAAACGATTACGATCCGAAATCAACCATACCTGGCCAGCTCTTTCATAGTACAGACTAACACTATCATCGTGATTTTGACGCATTGAGATATTCCTATTCGTTTCTTTAGGATTTCCGGCCGTTCGACGGGATCGTTGTTGCAAAGGAAATCGTTCCAATAATTGCTGAAGTTCTCGATGAGCATCTGTCGAAGGCGCGGTAGAGCGGTGGGCTCGGCATACAAGTTCGTAAAGGGCGAATCGCTCTCCTGACACGTCCAGTTATCCGTCGAATACTTCAATGGCAAGAAATCCGCTAAAGTCAGATGCTCCTGTCGCAGAAGCAAATGATGCGCCCGTACGAGACATATCTGACGCTCCTCCCCTCGCACGAAGCAATTCACTATGTGTACTTGCCACGGCGATAATCTCCTCGGAAGAAATTTCGATGTCACGTCGCTTATGTAATCCTACGACAGAACAATCGGATTCGAAACTAAAATCGATCTCTGCAATAAGATAACAATATATTATAGACGCCGACCTGTATATTGTTGTCAGTGATGGGACGACCGCGAAACGAGCACGGTGAATTCACGAGGTGACTATCGACGGAGTAATCGAGTTCCTTCCAAACGTAAACGCCCCATCGTGTGAACAAAGTCGATCTCAGATACTTTCTCGTAGACGCCAGATGCGCCAAGTGATTCCTCACGCCCTTCACGATCGAGCGTCCTTGCACGAGAAGCGTGCAGATTCCCTGTATCGCGACGATCGGTGAATCGCAATATGGATTATATCGAATTTTAATTTTTTACTTCTCGATACTTACATGAGTGCGTCCCTGATCCAAGATACTCCGAATACTATTCTCCTCTACAACGATATAATTCGGATACTTCCACTTGACGAAGCGTATCCAAGATCTCTTTGTCCATGTCACCACTTGAAAACGTCGAACGCATATACACATACGTACGCATATTATAATGCGATACATCTTATAAAATAACGATTGAAAGGCGCATAAAAATTATTCGCACGATATATGTGTTTATAATTATACGCGATTTTTAATTACGAATTGTGATAAAGATCGAAAGCAACGTGTTACATAAGGCATAAGGAAAAATCGTTAAACAAGCGTGATCTCTGTTATCTGCGATATATGTAATCTTTGTAGTGTAATTTTTTCAAGAGCTCAAAGATAGTTACTTTTATCGAAGATATAGTTACCTAAATACGCGATAAGGAGAAAGGGGACCAGAAATATCAGCGCGAAACTGAAGCCGAGATTCACTATCCAAGAGACACCGATGCCGACCATGACGTCTGGTTTGTTCCGTCAATACCGATATTTGTCAATTATTTAACAATGCGAGAGTCTTGCACCGGAAGCGAGCTGCTCTCTTGCAGCTTTCGACCTTACTGCCAATGATGCAAGTCGGTGGAATATAAGTCGCGGCGGCATCCGCGTTCGCGTATCGGGATGCAGATTATACATATATTCCGAGTCTGACCCTTCGACCCGTTGCGAAAAAAGAAAAAAACGAGAGGCCAAGCAGACGACTGGCGAGATATTATTACTCCTCCATCGTTTCACCGTCGAATATCATCGAGAGGTCTTGTTAGAAATATGCGAGTTATCGTTGACAACAAACAACCAGTCGCCAGTCGCGACGAAAAGGACGGGGAAGAAAGATAAAATATGAGTATCGTTGGTCCCGAAACCTCTTACGGGCGAATATGATGACTATTGAGATGAATATAAATAAGAGTTACTGTTTTGATATAAAATTCAATCAAATATTATATGCTGACACGATTCATTTAACGATGAGATCATTTTCTTAATATTCAAAAACATGGGAAATCTTCACTCTTTCTCTCTCTCTCTCTCTCTCTCTCTCTCTCTCTCTCTAAAATAATCTAATCTTTTATTTTGCCTAAAAAGATATTTTGTTATCTGTTGCATATATTTTTTATATTCCAAAAAGCAGCTCTATATATATCGGACTATATCAAAGCAATATTTATTTCAGAATTGAACATTTATGCATAAAATATAATATATATAGTTTACATCTATGCATAAACGCATCTATATTTAACATATCAACAATGAGTAATCGTAAATCTTGACAAAATACGTCTGTTTCTCGAAAATCGATATTTGTAAAGTTTTTAACTTTGACGGTTGGTAATGCAGAGCGCGTCGGTTGCTACGGAGTTTTGCAGAGTCAGCTGTAGATATCGCTGGCGTGACTCTCAGGTTGCGCTTGACTGACACCAGACGGCGCCAGTCTCAACAAAAATGGAGCCGCTCGAGTGAAGGTGGGTGACTTTGTGCGCGCGTGAGTCCGAAAAGTACTATTTCTCAGAGATGTGGCAAGATCTGGGCGGTCTAGGTGGTGTAGGAGTGAACCCCGGTGCTCATCAGGTCGACCAGTTCGAAACGACGGGTGAGTGTTTTTCGCTGGGATAAATTCGTAACGCGCCGATCGCGTACGCCAAGTCCCTGTATATGCGTCAAGTTATCGTAGCCGAGTCTCTCTTTCTACGGGAGGAGGCGCACGCTCTCTCTCTCTCTCTCTCTCTCCCCCCCCCTCCTTGTCTATCGCACGCGTACATACGCGTAGTAAACAAAACGGAACACG